GGGCAGGGGCTGGGGGAGACCCCAGCCAGTGGGGGTCCCAAAGGGGCCTTGGGGGCATTCCCCTGCCCTTGGAGCACCCAGTTCAGCAGCTCCAAAGACCCCCCTGGCCCCAAACAGGGGGCTGGTGAGGATGAGCCCCCAGGCCGCCCCCCGCCCACCCCCCAGGGCCCTAGGGGTAGTGGTTGTTGACGTTGTTGAGATGGGAAGGCGCCACGGAGCCGAAGGGGGCAAGGCCGGGCCCGGGGTAGAGCGCGGGGGCCGAGCTGGGCCAGTAGGAGAAGCCAGGCCCGGCCACGCCAGATGCCATGAGGTTGAGCTTGGAGATGCCTGGAAAGGGCAGGGGTGCCAGGTTGCCCTGCAGCTTGTAGAGCGTGTGGTCGGGGGCGGGCGGCTGGCAGACCTGGGCCAGGCCCTGGAAGTCGAACTTGTAGGCGTAGCGCTTGCCATGCACCTTGGTCATGATGTTCTTGTCGTAGTAGTAGCGCAGCGCCCGGCTCAGCTTGTCGTAGTTCATGTTGGGCTTGGACTTGCGCTCGCCCCAGCGCCGCGCCACCTCGTCCGGGTCCACCAGCTTGAACTCCCCATTGGCGCCTTCCCAGGCGATGCAGTGCAGGTTGGCACGGTCCGACAGCAGCTCCAGCAGGAACTGCCACAGCTGGATCTGCCCGCTGCCTGCGGGGCCGGGACGGGCGTTAGCGCGGCAGGCCTGGCCCCCTGCCCCGTCCCCCGGGCGCAGCCGGGCAGAGCCTGGAAGCAGCAACAGTCAATAGACAAGGCCAGGGCTGTGCCCGGCTGTGCCAGTGCTCCTGCCGGGACTCTTGCCCCCTGCTCAGGCTGCCTTGTGGGGGCAGGCAGGGATTTGCTCCCTGCTCAGATTGGTACAGATTGAGGGCATTTACCTTCCTCTATAGCAGGGCTGGGGCTGTCTTGAGCATCTCTTGACTTCATAGAGTCCCAGCATTGTGGGGCTGGCAGGGAGCTGTGGGGTCATGTCCAGCCCGAGGCAGGATCAGCCCCGTCCAGACGAACCCCATGTGCGACCTCAGAGTCACACAACACCCTTTCCCCTGACACAGCCCCGTGCGGCCGCCAGTGTCCTGCTGCTGCCATGGTGGGCGCTGGAGAGAGCACCCGCGCTGCAGAGGGAGGGGAAATCCCCCCAGCCGGGCCAGGCGGAGCAGGGGGCAAATCTTTGCTTGCCCCACCTCCCCCCACAGCATTGCAAGCAGGGGGCAAGAGCTTCCAGCCAGGACCCTGCAGGGCTGAGTCCCACAGGAGCATTGGCAGAGCCCCAGCCTGGGCTGCAGCCAGCGGCCAGCTCCTCTGGGGGGGCAGCCAGCACAGCCCAGCCCAGCCTGGGACACCCCCCAGCAGAGCACAGGCACCTCAACCCTCCCACCCAGCACCGTCCAGCCTCTCCTTGGCCCCCCATGCTGCAGAGTGCACAGCTTGGCTCCAGGGTCAGTGTCATCTCCCGGATTCCTGCTAATCTCTCTCCACTCCCAGGTGTGAGTGCTGCTCTCTCCTTGTTCAAGCTCTCCACGTTCCCTTTCTCAAACCAGCCTTTCCTCTGCTAGCCCAGCCTGGGGACATCTCTCCCCAACCCCCACCCCACCGGCTCTAGATAGAAACCTTCACTTCAGCATGAGCCTGCAAACTCGGGGTTTGGTGCAGAGATGCTCAACACACTCACGAAGGCGAGATGTGGAGCTATGACCAGAAGAAATGTCCCTTTGCCTCTAACAACTCTGGGCAATAGATCTGGGCTGTTTTTTGCTGGGTGCACCATGCCACCCCCCTTTGCAAAGCCTGAGACCTGCCCATGCCTGCCAGCTCTGACACCCGTTGTCTCCCCACTCCCAGGCCCCCTGAGGTTGCCCTCCCAAAGCGATGCCCAGGGTCAAGGGTCAGAGGACACATTAGTCCTCATAGCAATGCCCCCTCCACTCTGAGCAAGGAGAAAGCATGGTCTGGGGCCTGTCCTGCCAGGGCTGAGCTGGTTGTGGTGGCACGGGGCCATGGGGGGTGAGGGCATGGGGGTGACCCCAAAGCTGAAGCCTGGGAAAGCTCCACACCCCCTGCATGGGGCTACACCCTTGCCCCAGCAATAGCATTGCCAGAGGCCTGGGGGTACCTGATGGAGATCTGGGGGAGAAGTTGCATGGCTGGGAGATGCCAGCCAAACTATGGTGTCCCCGTCCATCCCCTCAACCCGCCTGGTCTAGCTTCACCCCACAGCAAAGGCCTCCAATGCTGCCCTGCCTAAGATGGGGCCCCTCAGTGCGGAGGCAGGGGCTGAAAGGGTCCCCTGGGTCCTGCCAGCCCCATGTCCTGGCCCAGAGGAGGGTCCATGCAAGGCCTGGCCCAGCCCATGTCCTCTGGGCACCCGGGTGCCTGGGCAGGCCCTGGCATGGATCTGCACGGCTGCACTTGAGCCCCGTGGGTGGGCGGGCAATAGCCAGGTGCCTGCTGCCCCCCAGTGGGGATGGCCTGCTGCTGCACCCCCAGACAGGGACAGGCCCGGGATGCCACTCAAGGTCAAGGGTGAAGGCACCCTCATTGCATGAGGATCAAAGGGCCGCAGGGGACGTGAGGGAGGGACGTGGCCTTGGCCCAGGTCTGGGGACACTGCAGCAGTGGGTGGCACAGGGCCTGGCAATGGAGGAAGTAGAATGCTTGCACACGTGTGTTCATATGTGCAGGCAGACACACACACACACCTTCACGCTGAGTCTTGGGGAGGAAGGGCAGCAGACAGGGGCTGCCAAGCATACCCATGCATTCTGGTTCACACCCAAAACACCCATGCACACTCGCTCACACCCACACACATTCACTCACACCCAATGCACCCATGCATACACACACACATCCTGAGGCCAAACACACCTGTGCGCACTTATGCAGATCTAGCATACCCATGCACACTTGGTCAGATCCTGCACACGCATATGTACTCAGGTCCAGCACATCCATGCACATTCATTCATATTTATACATGCTCAGCACACCCGTGCACACTTTCTCACACCCACACTCAGTCATACTTAGCACACCCATGCACACTCAGTCATACCCACACTTATTGACACTCAGCACATCTGTTCACACTTGCTCACATCCACACTTAGTCACATTCAGCACACCTGTGTGCACTCAGTCCTGCCCACACACCCGCTCACACTCAGTACAAACAACACCCCCACCCACCACTGGTGCATCACACCCACTACCCTGAAGTTCACCCACTCGCACCAGCCCAGACCCCGTCCAGCCCCTCACTCTCCCATATGTCCAGTCCAGCCCAGTACTCGCTCACACTGGATGCTAGCCAAACACCTCCCACCCAGCCCACCCACCCCGTACAACCACTCTGTCCCCACTCACACCTGGCACAAACACTCACACCCAGTACTGGCACATGCATCAGATTCATAGGTGCTCAGGTCAGAAGGGACCTCAGCAGGTCGTCGAGTCCGACCCCCTGCCCTGGGCAGGAAAGAGCACTGGGTCAGACGACCCAGCCAGGTGCTTGTCCAGTCTCCTCTTGAAGACCCCCAGGGTGGGGGAGAGCACCACCTCCCTTGGAGCCCGTTCCAGATTCTGGCAACCCTTACCGTAAATAATTGCTTTCTAATGTCCAACCTAAATCTGCTCTCTGTCAATCTGTGGCCATTGATCCTAGATACTCCAGGTGATGCGCTAGTAAAACGAGCACCTCCTACTCCTTGCTCGCCTCCCATGATGAATTTATAGGCAGCCACAAGATCCCCCCTCAGCCTTGTCCTGCGAAAGCTGAAGGGATCTACTATGACTCCAAGATCCCTTTCCGCTGCTGTGCTGCTGAAGTGGTCTTCCCCCAGCCTGTCAGTGTGTCGGTGGGTCTTTTTGCTCAGGTGCAGCACTTTGCACCTGTCTTTGCTGAACTGCATCCTATTTTGTTCTGCCCATTTTTCCAACCTGTCCAGATCTGCCTGGATCCTCACAGTCAGCAAATTAGCACGGCCATTCATGGCTCCTCAGACCCAGCACAGTCATTCACGGTCCAGACACCTACCCTGAGCCATGCGTGTCCAGTGCCCCATGTGCACCCGCTCACCAGGAGAACACACAAAGAGCCAACACTGCCCAAACACCCACTGCCCCTTGTAGCACCAACATGCTTGCTCACAGCCAGGGCACTACCTGTCTTAAACACCTCCAAGGATGGATCCACCACCTCTCTGGGTAACTTGTTCCAGTGCTTCACCACCCTCCTCGGGAGGAAGTTTTTCCTAATATCCAACCTCAACTTCCCTTGCTGCAACTTGAGCCCATTGCTCCTTGTCCTGCCATCTGCCCCCACTGAGAACAGCCCAGCTCCATCCTCTTTGCAGCCCCCCTGCAGGGAGGTGAAGGCTGCTATTCAATTCCCCTCGGTCTTCTCTTCTGCAGACTCAATCAGCCCAGTTCCCTCCTCCTCTCCTCACCAGTCCTGTCCCCCAGCCCACAACCATCTTCATTGCCCTCCACTGGACTCTCTCCAACGTGTCCACATCCTTTCTGTCGTGGGGGCCCACAGCTGGACACGGGACTCCAGATGTGGCTTCCCCAGTGCTCACCAGAGGGGAAAAATCACTGCCTCGATCTGCTGGCAACGCTCCTCCCAAAGCAGCCCAGGATGCAGGTAGCCTTCTTGACACCAAGGGCACACTGCTGGCTCCTGTTCAGCTTCTTGTCCCCTGTCCCCTCAAGTCCTTTTCTCCAGCTGGAGGTGGGTAAGAGTGGAGCAGTGTAATCGCTGTCTCTATTTTATTAGTCCTTGGTGGGCATCAGATATGGGGCAGGAAGAGGACAGAGTGGCCAAACGCAGCTGCATGCCCAGATAATGCTGGTAAACCCTGAGGAAAGACCTCAGGACCTGGGCTATTACTTGTGCATGTTTGTCTACGGTATATGTATGGTGTGCGTCGTGAGTGTGCATGTGTAAGTGCGTGAGAGAGCTGCCTAGGGCATGTACATGTCTAGTGTTTCTATGCACACATGTGCACTTGTGCTTATATGCACGTGGAGCTCATTGCACAAGTGTGTGCTGGCTGAGCCCATACATGTTGTGCAATGTCCAGGGTGCACGTGTAGCATGCTTATCCACACATATGTGTCCATATGCACCTATGTGTAGAAGCACCTCCTCTGGCACCTGCCTGTGGCTCCATATGCCCAGAACTGGCAGCGGCGGGGGGCAGTGATGTCCAGGCCGTGGGTGCTGGGGATGGAGCAGCCCCTCTCCAGGAAGCCCGAGGGCTGTGGGGGCCCTGGCTGGTCGGCCCCCATTTCCCAGCTCAGAGACTCTTTGGGAGCTCCCTGCGACAGAGGCAGCAGCCCTGGCAGCGCCCAGCTCTCTGGCCTGTACTGCACCTAGCACCACCCAGACCCGGCTACCCCTGCTGCCCCTTGGCACCAGCCTCCACCAGCCTGGAGCTCGGGGTCCCCCCTGCCAGACGCCCCCGGTCTCCAGCAGAGCTCGGCTGGCTCAGGTCCGGCTCTGTCAGCCTCAGCCTGTCCCATACCCACAGCCCGGCTGCCCGGGCCTTATCCATGAAATCCAGCTCCGACCAGGACCATCCTGCCCAGCCCCCTGGACACGGGCACAGCCTCCGCTCCCTCCAGGGCCTGCCGTCAGTCTCCCTGCGCGAGGGAGGTCGGCGTGCTGCCCGGGAACCGCCGATCCCTGTTTAACAGCCATCACGATTACTAATGGCCTGGAAAGTGCTTCACACGCCGCAGCCCCAGCTGTCGGCCCCGGCGCGGCAGCCGGCACCGCGCCCTTCGCGCTCTCTGCGTCACCCGTGCACCCTCGGTCCCCAGACACGGGCCGGCACCATTGCCGGGCTCCTCTCCTTCATCGTCACCGCGGCCGCTGCCCCGGCCTCAGCCCCGCCAGCCGTGCGGTCCCCGCTCCACGCCTTGAGCTCCCCTTATCCATGCGGTACCCCACCGAAAGTCTCGCGTCTCGGGACGGCAGCTGGGGACACGCCGCTTGTGGATGGCTGAGCCTCCAGCCCTGACCCGGGAGGGGCTTCCCGCTGTGGTCTGGGGTCTGCGCGGTGAATGGTCCTGGCAGAGCTGCCCTTTTTAAGCTGATGATTCCCCGCACTGCCCCGGAGGCGCTGGGTGCTGGCTGCAGCCCAGGGTGGTGCTGGGCCCAGGATGCTCCTGCTGGGACTCAGCCCCACAGGGTCCTGGCTGAAGGCTCTTGCCCCCCACCCCCTCCAGCTCAGCCCCACGCTGCTTTGAGGGCAGCCCCATTCAGCACCCCCCGGCTCTCCCCATGAGGACCGCCGCAGCTGGCCCTGCGCTGGGTCTCACCATGGACCCACGTGCCCCACGGCCAGGCTCACTCGGGGGACAGGGCACGTCCGCTACATCCCACCCCAGCTCCTCCAGCTGCCTAGGAGTCCTCCCCCCGGCCCTTCTCCCTTGGCTACACATCCCAGGGGGAAAGTCCCCGAGCGGCCTCTTTGTTACCGCTGCATTGCAGCCTCGGCCACACAAAGCAGCCGGGAGGAGATGGGCACCCCCCACCCGCTCCGTGCCCCCAGCCTCTTCCCTCCCTGGCTGCATTCAGGGCTTCCCGGGAGGAAGGGACACGGAGGCACGGAGCAATGGGGAAGGGCTGGGCCCCTGGAGCCTGGAGTTCTCCCCCGGCGGCCAGGGCCAGCACCGGTCAGTGCCCAGGACGTCTCCCCGAGGAGCCATGTCGCCCGTTGTGCCCCCTCTCTGAGCCCAGCTGCTCCCTGCAGCCCGAGAGACCCCCTTCTCCCCCACCAAGCCCAGGCAGAGCTGGGCAGACCTGCATGCATCCCTCCTCTCCCAGCACCCCCGAGCCGCCGCACCCAGCGCGGTCCCTCCCGCCCTGCAGCTGCAGACGTGGCGTGCACAAAAGGGGCTCCAGTTCCCAGCCCTGGGCGCTGCCCCCGGTCACCCAGGAGCTGCGGGGTGGCTACAGAGAGGCCTGGCTTGACAGGGGATGGGACCAGCAGCACCCCGACCCCGAGCCTGGCCAGGCCGGCACCTCCGCCCATTGCAAACCCGCAGTGCGGCACTGGGCAGCGGGGACAGGGTGGGCACCGGGAGACGGGCAGGAGCAGGTGTGTGCCTGGGTGTGTGAAGGAGAGAGGCCCTAATTGTGCCGCCGTCACCTCCCAGCTCTGTGAATCCCCTTCTTTGTCGTCGTCGGGTTGTTTTACCGAGCAGGGACCCTCCGGTGCCCGAGAACCTCTGGGAGGCCGGGGCTGGCCCAGGGGACAGGGTGGGAGGGTGGCACAGCTCGTGGGCAAGGCCTGGATCCTGTGCAAGGCACCCAGTGCCCTCTGCCGTCCCGCCCCGTCCAGCGTGCCCAGATCTCTGCAGCCGACCCCCGGCCACGGCACGGCTCTTGGGGACAAGGCGGGCCTGGCCGGTAGCCCAGACACGGGGATGGGGAGCTCAGCCCTGGGTCTCAGCACCAGGCCGGGTGGGGGATGGGGGTGGGGACAGCCCAGGACCTGGCCTTGGTGCAGGCACAAGATGGGGGAGAAGGGGAGGGGCTGTCTGTGCGGGAAATGGGCTGTTGTCCTGCCTTGGTGCCGCTCGTGCAGTAATAATAATAATAATAATAATAATAATAATAATAAGCATATTCTATTAGTGTTATTTGTAGCGGTGTCATTATAATAATGATAATGGCAATAATACGATGATAATCATTACTATCACACCGCTACAAATAACACATTATTAGAATAGGATGATGATGATGATGATGAAGATTATTGTTATTATTATTTCTGGCCCCTCCGTGCTGGAGGAACAGGGGAAAACCCAGCTCAGCCCCGGGCACTCGCCCGCCAGCTCCGCTCTGTGCCGCCGGGACACGGGAGACGGGGCCGGACGGACCCGGGGCTGAGCCGGCGCAGGGCAGCTCGGTTGTTCTTCCTCTGCTCTTACTATTGGTGCATTGAAGTGAGGTTTTACCTCAATAAGAATTATTAATCATAATAATAATTATTAATGATCATTAGAAAGACTACAAATAACAGCTGCCTTATTATCATGGTTGCTGCTGTTATTATCGTTACTACTACTACTACTAATGTTGTTACTGTATTACTGTTTTATTGTACTGTTGTGTTATTGTATTATTGTGACTAATACAATAACCCAATGTAATAATACACTGTATTACTGTTTTCATTATCTTCATTATTGTTGTTCTTGCTTTTATTATTAGCGTTACCGTTGTTACTTATTTAAGCTACTACCATGACCACCACCATGATTGCTATTTATCATTCATTTTATTATCATTATTATCATCATCATCATTGTCATCAGAGTTATTTATTATAATAACAACAATACTTTGCATTATTATTATCATCATTATTGCTAAAATTTTCCTATAATTATTATTAGTTTTTATTATTACTACTATTGTTATTGTTGTTACAATTACTCTGATAATTGCCATCTTTATAATCATTATTATAATTATACCAATCATTATCATTATTGTAAATATTAATGCCATTGCAGTCACAATTATTGTTGTTATTATCATTACTATTACTGTTACAATCTATGAATCTATGTTACCACTAGCATTATTACTGTTATTATTATTACGACCACTATTATTAACAATAATACCAATAGTACCAGTAATAATATTGTCATCATAGTTGCCATCATTATTATTATAATTACCACGATTACTATTATTACTAGAACTATTTATAGTAATAATAATAGCGCCAATCATCAGAATAATAATATTGCCATCGTTATTTCATTATTGCCATCGATATGCTCATTATTACTATTAGTACTCCCCTTATTGCTAATAATACCATTACTACCGTTAATAACAATACTACTGTCACCGTTATTATCAGGATCGTTGTCATTATTCTTATCATTGCTGTAATTCTTGTTCCCATTATTACTGTCCTCATTCCCACCGGTCACTCCCGCTGCCGCGGCCCTTCCCTTCCCTTCCCTCTCCCCGTGCTGGTCCCGTCATCGCCCCGCACGAGCCCCGCAGGCCGGTCCCCGCGGAGCCGCCCCCGGCCCC